GACAAAGGGATATTGTCCCTTATTGGAGGAGAAAAAAAAGTTTTGATGGGTATATATACAATTGCACTTCTTCTAACTCTTAAAGAGTTGAGAAGAGGCAAGCCTTGCGCAGTCGTCGTCGCTCGCTCGGCTCGGCTTCGGCTTCGAATTTGGTTTGATTGATTGATTAATGTTTTGGACCAAATTTATTTGTTAATATTAAGATTAACGTAATATTAATTTAATCCAAATTGTCATTTTTTGTAACAGTAAATTATTTTTCCTCCGTTTTTTAATTTTCCGTTAGAATTTAAATTTGGCGGTTTGCGTAAATGATCGTTTTATAAAATAACCATTTTGAGTTGCAGCCTTGCAGGAAGAGTTGCAACTCTTTAGAATTACCCAATGTTTTGACTATAAATACATGAACTTCCCTTCAGATTTCCTTACGAAAATTCTGATTTCTCCTTGTTCCTTTTGCATTATTTTTTAACAGAAAAAAAAAATCAGTAAGTATGATTTTCTACTGATCTTTGAGTCCGTTGGTCAATGGGATTTGAAGTACCGCTATACCAGTGAGGGTAATCCGTTCTATCATGGGAGAAAATAATCCTAAACCTCGGGTACTAGGAGGGGATTAAGTTCCTTAAGGAAACACTACGAATTTAGTGGGCTCGGATTAATTTATGTTCTTCTACATTTCTAATTTTTATTCCATTCCTACTGATTTTTGAATATATTTTCGAATACTGAATACTAACACCATTTCTCTTGGAATGAAGGAAAGCTAGTAGCCTCACCATGTTCCTCAACTTTCTTTTTAGGCCTTGCTTTTGTTGCCAAGACTGATACTTATCTATTTTGAGTTTTGCCATTCAATGAACGCAACACCTCAACAACAACAACAACAATAACAACTCAGTATAATTTCACTAGCTAGTGGGGTATGGGAAGAGTAGTGTGTACGCAGACCTTACTCTTATCCTGGGGTAGAGAGGTTGTTTCCGATAGACCCTCGGCTCCCTCCCTCCAAGAACTCCCCACCTTGCTCTTGGGGTGACTCGAACTCACAACCTCTTGGTTGAAAGTGGAGGGTGCTTACCACTAGAGCAACCCACTCTTGGGGTGACTCGAACGCAACACCTCAATATGTAAATTATCCCTATTTTACATGTACTCTTTTCGAACAAATTTACTCAGTCCAATATTTATTTATTTTTTGTTGTTGTAGTTGTTGTTGTTGTTGTTGTTGTTGTTGTTGTTGTTTTCATAGACGCAACGTAATCTAGTTCTTCTCCTAATTTCGCGCACAAAGTGCACCAAGCTGCCTTTTTTGTTATTTTCCTGTACTCTCACCGGCAATTCTTATCGTTTCTAAACTTTGTACATTTTCTAGATTATGTGTAGATTTCCCCAAAATCTTACGATATTCTCATTAACCTTTTCTTGATTTTGTGTACCTATCTTTTCTAATCATCATTAGATTGTGTAAATGGTTTTCTATAATCTTGACTTCCCAAAAAGTTACTCACATGGAATCATTAGATTTTATATAGAAAGAATCATACCAGAATTACTTTAAAAAAATTATAATAAAAGGAAGAAAGTGCCATTTAGATTTTTACCAGCTCTCGACCAGGGACTTTTGGGAGAATTTTTTTTACACACACTGGGTGTTATCAACGTAATGAATGTATGATACTTGATTTTACATACGCTATTATCACATAAGTAGTTATTAATACTCATGCTCCCCAATTTTTTTATTTAATTATAGTAAATTAATATAGTTTGGTGTAAATACTCGAAAGTGTTTATACATTCGGAGTGAGTTCTTTGACGGAATATGTCCGTACACTGTGTTCAAAACTCATCAGATGTCATTAACAATAGAAGATTAACGTTAATTTGGTATTAATGTACAGTGACACACATTTTTTTAATAGGCACATCACCAGCTCTATCATTTAAGGCATCTTTTGACTTTAAAATATTTGTTAATGCCTATGTCCCAAGACATTTGGCCTTTAGCTGATTAAATTTCCATATCCTTGCATCAAGACAATAATTAATTTGGTAGACTCTAATCTGGCAGCCATAGGGAACAAATAAAGGATAATTAAACTAAAGCCATTCTTCAATAGTTTGATGTACTAAATTACAAGTTTGTTAGGAGTTGATAAGATCAAATTTGGACTGTTATACTCACCTTTTTTTTATATTGGCGTGATTACTTTTTAAGAATTAATAAGTACATTAATATGTGTCTGGTTGTTAATTTTCCAATTTTCTTTTATTTTGGTGCAGAATTATTCTGCTCATTTGCAGTTCTCAGCTTTAAGACATGTGGCTAAAAGGGAAAAAGGAGAACAAGAANTGGCTCCACTGGTCCAAAGTGTAAAGTGTGTTTAAAGGGAAATGGATAACCCTTATTCTCTAAGGAAAACCTTTTTTTGTTAAGACGCGTGTATTATCTGTATTACTCGGAAATAAAGATGTTTTACCTTTAAAAGCTTTTTAGCATTCTTGTTTAATTTTAATAATATCACCTCATGCACAATTAAAATAAGCAATATTAAATTATAATAACAAAATCACATATCCAGTTTAATCTCACAAAGTAAGATCTGGGGAGGATAAAATGTATGTAGACCTTACCCCGACCTTTGTGAAAATAGAAAAACTATTTTCGATAGATCATAAGTTCAAAAAAAAATTAAAAGAGACAAACACAACAAAATAGTAATAACAGCTAAATAAAAAGACAAACAATATTATATTAAACCCCAAAACGAGATGGATATTCTAGGTTTTTGTTCATATAGTAAACAAAGAAAAGGAAAACACATTTTCGTAAGTCATTATGCTGTCCCCTTGAGGACACTAATAGATTCTAGTTAATAATAGCAATTTAAATTGTCAAATTATTTCTCATACGTGTTTTTATTTTTATTTTTCCTTCTCTTGTTTTTTTGAGAATTTTTGCTGGTTGCAACTCAATTGTATGATGTCATATGGAAATATCATTATTCTATACAAATATATATTTTATAACTTGCTTTACGGGCTGACATAGTCTTGTGCCAACGCAATTTCATTGATATTTAGGTTTTCGTAAATTTAATAGTTTATCTGGTTTTTCTTGAAAAGGAACACTACCTACGAGATTAAAACAATTATATTGTGAAGTAGATGCTTGAGTTTGCAAGAATTGTTATAATTTTAGTGAGTCACTAAAGTAGAATATTGTGGCATGAGAGACCTTGTAAAATAAATAATGACAACTACTAATAAAGTCTTCTTTCATTTTCTATGTGGGTTCAACTTGGTAGGTATTTTTCTGACAAAAATCTAGCTTCCTTTACCGTGGAACTTTACTTAGTTAAAGGTAAGATGTCGTTCGATAGATCCTCGTGATCCGTCTCTTTCTAGATCCAATGTATAGTAGGATTTAATGTACCAAATTGTCCTTTTTAAGGAATTATTTTTTTTTCTCTTGAGCTGTTTAAAAATTTTAAATTAAGCACAAAGTAAAGTAGCATATACACTTTTTTTCCCCAAACAGTCGGGGTTGTATATAGCATCTAAGATCTCAATACGAGAAGGAAATTAGACCTAAATAATTGTACTGCACTAGTTTGTAGACTTGCTTTGCGACAAAAAACTCAAGTGAAAACCTATTAAAATTGTGGGCCTCACTCGTCTACTACTCGACCTTAAATAATTACGGTTAGAAGAATACATCCATTAGCTTAATTGACTTGCTTGGGTCATCCTAACCCATATATTAGAGGTGTACTTTACCACTAAGCCATACTTGTTTGTCATGTAACATAAAATATTGAAGAGGTAAATTTCTTCATGACGTGGTGTTAAACTAATTTGTAACACACCTCAATCAATTCATTTGACTACTTATTACAGTCTACAAATACTATTAAACTTGTCATATGGAGGAAAGGAGCGATTCTTGTAATTAAAATTACATACTTTAATTATCCAGTTCGTTACTTCTGTGACTCAATCATTCAATCATCTCCTCAAAGACTTGAAGAGGTAAATTAAGAGTGTGTTTGATACGAACAAAAATATTTTTCAGAAAAATATTATTTTGTAAAAAAGTATTTTTTTTTAAACATATTTTTTGATGTTTGATTACCTAACAAAAGATATATTTTTAAAAAATATATAATTTAGACAAATACTATATAAGACGGAATGAGTAATGCTAGGGGAGGGTGATAAGTGGGGGTCTAGGAGACACAGTGGGGGAGTGAGGGTGGGGGTGAAGAATTGGACGGGGAAGAATGAAAAAGAATTTTAAAAAATATTTTCTCTCCTTTCAGTAAGGAAGTCATCTCCCTCGAATTATGAGAAAAATATTTTTAAAATTATTTAAACTAATCAAACATGAGAAAATTAAAAAAAATTTACCCTAAAAGCTCAAAAACTCCAACTTTTTATTTGTAGCTGTTAATAAAATATTTTATTCATAATGGTAAAATTAAAAAGTGAAAAATCCTCTGACCAAAGTTAGTTCCAATCTTGGAAGTCTACTTTGAACTTTGAAGTCATAAATGTAATAATTAGGTTAGGTGGCTAATCTAGTCATATTATCAAAAGGTGCCCAAATCAAGATAAGAAAAAAACAAAAGAAGGTGGATGGGGTGAGGGTAGTGGGAAAAGAGAGTGTGAAGTAGGACTGTTTGTATTACATGTGATAGACTGAATGGATATTAGTTTTGTTTTTTTCCTTTGCCTTTTTCTTTTTTAGAAAAAGTTTTATGTACTGTACTTTTTTATATGAGAAATTTGAGCAAAGGAAATAGTTAGTACTATATAGTTAATGTAGTTTTCAGGTGGGGAGAAAACAGCACAAAAATACATCTTAGTATCAAACCAAGAGCCAAAGCTAAGCAAATGTTTGTATCAAATCAGTATGCTTGCAAATGGATCCAACTTTTTCAGGTCATTCATTAACCAAAGCAAAAGGTCTCATCCCTTTTACTAGCCTTTCTCCTTTTTCTGTTCTGTTTTTTCTTTCTTATTTTCTTATTTTTTAGAATTTTCTTGAATGAATTTTGGAGTTTGAAAATATGGGGATCATAAAACAAGGTGTAAAGCATAGTTCTTTGAAATTTTCAGGGGATTTTCTGTTTTAAACATCTGATTCTTGGTTGGTAATGCTTTGTTTGGCTTAACTAAAACTAGATAAAGGGGGAATGAAAATGATGATAGCTTGGTTGAATCTTGTAATTTTCCAAATTAGTAGTATTTTTCTCATAAAGTTGGCTGCTCAAAACATGTAAGGATCCTCCTGTTTTGAGCAAAAGCTGGCTTTCTGAAACATAAATCCATAACATCTATAAATTGTTACCTTGTAAAAAAAAGAACTATTGGCCTCTGCTTTTTCTCATACTTGTTATGATGATAAGTCAAACCTTATGAAGTTGTGATTTTGGCAGTTATTTCCTGATTCATGTGTAAAACTTTGTTATACAAATTCCAAATCCAAAATTGTGTTTTTTCATTTGAATGGTTGAGCATATCCAGTTATTGCTCGTCGATGTTGGGGTTTAATGGAATAAGAAAAAGCAAGGGCAAAAGTTGGTCAATTTTTCAAGAAAGCTTAAAGAATGTAGTTTTGGAAGACAGCTTAAAGATTATGCTTCTCTTCATCCTCACTTATTCTAGTTTGTCTGAACCTGTGATTTAAGTGTAAATGCTTCAAACTTTGTAAGGTAGTTTAAATTATTGAACAAATTTGAATAATGAAAAAGAATGTTTGTTTCGACTGCTATATGGTGTAAACACTATTTAATCTTTGTTGCTTCTGTTTGCAGAGATTCTGTGTTATCTCTTTGTTGTAAATAGCAGTAAAAAATGAAAGTGTGACAGTATCCTTTATCCTTCGAGTTCTATCTACTCTTCAGTGTCTTCTATCGGTTATATTTCTCTTGCAATTCGAGCTCATAGTTTGCAACAATATACGTGCCCTTAGTATATGAAGCACACAGTTAACATACCGTGATGTTGGCTGAGGGAGGCGATCGTTTCTTAGTGGCTGACTCTGGTGCTCATGTAGTTGGTAAGCAGAACCTCTGGACATTATTATCTGCAGCTATTCTCAAATTTTGGCAGAAACACTAATCTTTAACAAGTAGTCTGCTTTCATTATATTCAGCTTCCTATGGTAGCCTGTCCTTGAGTAATTGTGATGTCTAGTATTCTACATTTATTGTCAGTTGAGTCTTCGTCGTTGTTAATGCGTGGGTTTTGCTCTGATTTAATCAGGTAACTCCAGTCTAGACGGTGGTATAGTGTATTAAAGTAGCATAGCGGTTTTCTTACATTCAGTGTAAAGCTTCTGGAGCACGGGATTCAAAGAGGATGATAAGCTTCTCCCAGAAAGGTGTCTGTGGAAAAGAAGGTCAATCTTTCACTCCTTTGTTTGTGAATTGTTCATCTATGTGGAGCTCGGGTGAACAACCAGAAAATGCTCCTTCTAAGAGTGTCCTGACTGGAGCGGAATCTGCATCGAAATGTCACTTCAATATCAAGCAATCAGAATCCCAATATCAAGATCAGGATTCAACTTCTACTCTGTCAACTGGTCAATCTGATCATGTGGAGACCCCAATGGCAAAAAGCAATACTGTTCTGCAAAATGTTGCGCTTCATCCAGGTATAAAATATATGAAGCGGAACATAATCTGTTCTTAAACTTTAATTCACTTGGAGAGTGTGCTCAAAGGTTAACAAATTGAGACCTCCTTAAGTTAGGAAGCTTAAACGAATATATTCACTTTTGGGGTGATAATATCAGAATTTAAATAACTCAAATGATGTTCTTATCAATGTGATTCCTAATAGGCTTTAGCAGGAATATTAGCTTTTCATATTTGTGATAAAAATACTCTATGTACCCTGACATCAGTTACATGATGTTCTTCTGGATAGGTTGGGATGGAATTTATGAGGTGCAAGGAGAGAGAGGAACAAAAGCATCCCTATCAGGCAAAAATGCCACCAACACTCTCCCTCAACCGCATGTGCACCATAATCATCCAATGGTCTGTAATCTTTAACTTATTTTTCATCTGCTATGCAGATCAGTACACCTTGATGTCAGTTTGTTATGTGCATTTCCATTGTTTGCTTGCTGCTGCCACTCACTTACTGGTGCATATAGTCTAAGTTGCTGGGACTCGGGTGCGGATCTAGAGGTCAGATCCTTAATTATCTAAATTTTAAGATTCGGGGGTACGGATTCAAGTACGGATACGGGTGCGGGGTTTCTGCTAAAAATAATACAAACATCTAAAAATAGAGTTATAAAAATTTGTCCACATAATGAGACACTATGTGAAAAACTTACAATATATTCCGAAAAGGAGAAAATATTAATCAAGAGGAGAATAAAGGAAGGAGATAAAAGGAAAAAGACTGGCATACAAATTTCATAAGGTATTCCATTTTCTTCAATTTCACCCTAGCTTTTGTTTTGATTTCAGAAGTCATTGTATTTGTTCTGAATTTCTCCGTCGATTTTGGTCAAAGTACCCAAAATTGGTTGACCAAATCCGGTACGGATCCCACACCCACAACCATGTCGTGTCGAAACAGGTGCGGCACCAAAAATGATGAATCCGAGCAACTTAGCATATAGTCACTATCATCCACCAAAATTTATCTCTGTCACTCTGTCTATCTTTTTATTTTATTTTATTTTTTTTTTTTAATTTTACTATTTATCTTCCACTACCTCTGTCGTGACCAGGGGGTGGAAGGAATTCCTCATAAGTGTAAAACATCAGTCTCGCTCTCTCTAACTTCCTTCCTTTGTTTCCTTTTTCATTCTTGCTTCTGGTGTTCTCACCCATGGGAAAAGGGTTGATTAAATTACTTATTGCCTCTGCCTTTCTTGAAAGATAGCCCCCTTTTTAGCATGAGTTGTTGGTGAATATAGGTTGCACCACCTTGGAACTAAGTTTGTCTCCTAACGTGGTCCCGCTTCCCAAAAGGGAAAAAGTAGGGAAAAAGAGGGATAAAGAGAAGAAGAAAAAAAGATGCATTTTGTGGAGTGCACTTTACGTCTGTATGACTGTATACACCAATTCAGATGAAAATAAGCAACTTGTAAAACTAATCACTCACTTTTGCTTCTAGGCTTGCCTATCCTACCCTTGGGCTGACACTTACTTTGGAAGGCTCGTGGCTACTTATGGATCAAATGTCATCGTAAGTGACATTGACTACATGCTTTTTATCTAAAGCAAATATTTATAAGATTGCGATCTCTTTATATTTTCTTTTATGATTCTACATCCAAAATATAAGGTTACTAGAGTTGAAAGAGTTGAAGTTGGACTAGTATGTTTTCTTTTATGATTCGACATTCTCACCTTTTTATGTTGGGATAATTATTCATATTCCATGTCAAAATGTGTCTCTTTATGCATTCATCTTTCTTTTTTTCTTCTTGGATCTGGGAGGCTGTGCTTGTCATAAATTTCTTTTGTTTGTCAAAGAGTAGCTATTAAACTCAAGGCAACTGATTTTGTATATGGCACATCATCTTAAGAGGAATAGTGAAGCTAATACTAGTCATCTTTGATGCACTTCTCTTGCTTTTAGAATAACCTGAACATGACTCAAGGTATAGCAGAAGGAGATAGCAATCTTGTGATTGAGTGCCAGTTTTTGAAGTTTATCATCTTATCAAGTATCATTGGACGCTCCTCCTTTACTGATTTTACCTCTGTTTTCTCCCTGAATCTAGAGTCCTGATAATATGAAATTGGTCTGCTCACTAACAAACTGAAAGTAAGCTAGACATGGAATTATTGAAGTTACAATATATTCTTAATGCTTAATCTCCATATAGACTTGACATTTAAAACGCTAATTAGATCGCCGCTACTTGGTAAGTTGGAAAGTGATCTATTCTCTGCTATCATATCTTTTTCTAAGCAAACCAAAACGAATCTGATCTGTGGAGACACAAATGATGCACCAAAATAGCTCTCTTTCATGATGTCCACCGTCCTTTTACCACATGAACCTTGTGATTTACCAAACCTACCGAATTCAACACGCAACTAACTTATGCCATCTCTTCCGAGCAAGTAGCACTTGTTTGTGCCAGTTCTTCAAAAGTAGAGAGTAGTAGTTCATTCAGCCACCTTTATTGCAAGTGAAGATCTCTTCTTCTCATTTAATGCTGTTCATGTTGAGTTCCTCAATCTTTTTTAAAAAAAAGTATAATTTATGTCACTTGATGATGAACTTTTTGCTGTTTTTATTTAACTCCTTTTTTCGATGTTGGATATATCTAGATTTATCCTCAAATGGTTGGTGTCACCTCCACAAGAGTTGCACTTCCTCTTGAATGCACAGAGAGCTTGCCCATTTACGTGAATGCGAAACAGTACAGTGCTATCCTCAAAAGACGTCAAGTCCGTGCCAAGCTGGAGGTTCAGAATAAGCTTGTCAAAGACAGAAAGGTACGTCCATCCAATATAACTTTTTCACCTGCCAACAACCTGCCAACAACGAAATTGTGGTCTTATCTCATCTGTTGTATGGGGCACAGCCATATCTTCACGAGTCTCGACATCGTCACGCAATGAAGAGAGCTAGGGGTACTGGAGGGCGTTTTTTGAACACACAGAATATGCAGCAATCTAAGCCTTCATCTCCAACGCACGATAAAAGCATCTTTAAGGGGACGGCAGGTGGCAACTTAACTAGATCCATGGTTCAGCACTCAGAGAGTGGTAGTTGGGGCACTTCCACCCAATCTGGTTCTGATGTTACGAGCATCTTCAGTGGTGATGACATGTTCCAGCAGCCAGAATTCAGAGTCTCTGGTTTCCCTTTTCACATGCAGGAAGCTGAAGACTTCATGCATGTTGGAACTTAACAACACGTTGTGTTATCCATTGGTGACGGTGCCAACACAGACTGCATTACAAAATGCATTCTTATTGGTTGCACTCAGATGGATAATCGGCAGTTCATCCTTGGCTATGCTACTCTTTTCTTTTCCAGAACTGAAATCGTTTACTGCACTTTTTCCTAGGGGTTGGTCGTCCATATGATATATGTGGTTCATGGTTTGTGATGAATAAAACGCAGGTTGGTTCTCCACGTCATCACGAAGGGCAATGAGAGAAGTCAAACCATTAGACTGTTTTTAATCAGAAACTGTGGAGATTAAGGCAGTTTTCTCCATTTCTTGGTGGAGCGGCGTGTGGATCATTCTGCACTTCTAAGTCTGCTTGCTACTGTTTTTCATTTCCTGTTGCTTTGTATTACTCTCATTGTTAGTGCTTTTGACTTGGGCTTTGTGTGCAACAAGATAAACTTATTGAACCATTTTCATACTTTGTACATTTACTTCTGTGCTTGTGCAACATGCATTATTTCATGAGGGGTGATAACTGCACAAAATCTGATAGGAGGGGCTTAATTGTAACCTGGATTAAGTGCTTACAATTCAATTTCTTGTGTGCAATTGGAATTGCAGATTCTATTGGAACACTTATAAGTTATATATGTTGTAGTATGCAATAGGAGTAAACACACAATAATGCTAGAAGTATCTTCTTTGCTCAGATGGCAGGGAAAGTACATTTTTGCTTAAACTTCTCAAATTATTCTGTCTTTTCCTTTATTCAGTTAGGATTCTTGACCATCAAGCCAATTCCTTCTGGTTATTTATAAAGTTTTTAATGTATATTTGAGTCGTATTATAACAAAAGGCCACGAATATAATTTTGGGTCGTATTATAACAAAATCAACATATTAGGTTGGTTAATACGGTCTACAACATATCACAACTCCATAACAAATGCCGTGTAAAATATTCTTTTTAACACTATATAGGGTGGTTTAGTTGTTGACAAGTTATACGAGGATTGGTTATGATGAGATTAGTTATTTTAGTATTATTTCTTATTGGCTATTTGGTATATTATATTAATTCTTAGATTAACAATTTTATTGCTTTATTCTGGATAACTTATCTTAGGATTATTATTTTACCCTCTGACAGGTACAAGTTGTCCCGCTACTATTTTTAATCCTGGAATAATTTTTCCCAGAATTAGTAACAAAATATGGGATGGTCTAAATTTTTATCCTAATTATTTTTGCTTATCTCATGACTAAACGACTCATGGGATAAGTTATGACTAAAAAGCTTTAAGACTAAATCTTTCTTATCCATCATACTAAATTTAAGACAAAAAGATTATTAATTAAAACGAAAGGGATTTTATTTAAATATATTTATTGTATACATAATTATTACACTATTATTATATACTAGTCTTAGGGTACGCGTTTTGCACGTGTACTCTGCGGATCTACATGGAGTATTATGGGTGCTAAAGTACCCATTGCCTTTGACCAAATTTAATAGATTTACATCGGCAATTATAAAAAATTTAGATAAACACTGTGTAAACACCCACAACTAAACTCCTTTTCCCTCCTTTTTTGGAACTTTTTTTTCGGCAAGCACCCATGACTTTAAAATTTTGGATTCACCACTATATATTCATGAATCCATAACTTTTAAATATTGCATACCCATATTACCCAATGTGTATGAGTTATTAAAAATATTATAGGAAAAATGTAAGGTCCTAAAAATGAATGTTAATCCTATTTAGATAGCTTAAAATGAAAAAAAATCATGTCCTACATAAACTCTCAGATGCTATATTATGATTTCTCATTTTGTCCCCACTTATCGAAGTTATTAGTTGTCTTCTTAATTTTTGAATTATATGCTTGATATAAATAAGTGAAATGATAAGATCATATTGATATATTTCTTTATCTCCTCTTAAATTAGACTATTTGAACCTGAAGAACAATTGTCAAGTTTTTTTTCCAAAGTTATTTGTCAATTTGAAAAAGAAATTTACTAATATGATGAAGTTGAAAAATAATTGAATTGAATTTTTCTTACTTAATTATTTATTTATTTATTTTAATATCAAAATTTTGCTGCCTTTGTTAGTTTTCAAATATAAGTTTGGCCGTTTCCTTCCATTAATGCGCACATCCTCTTAGGAAATATAACACGTAACATTTATATTTTTAGTATTATAATATTATAATATTGTATATGGTAAATGTAATTGATTTTGATATCCTAGATATTAGAAATTTCTGTGTAGTTGTTCAAATAAGGAAAACTTTAATAAGTAAAGTTTTAGTTGACTTCAAAATGCTAAATATTAGGAAAATGATTAAATGACTATTTTTGTCTAGTATGAATTTTATTTTAAAAGGGTAAAAAAGACGAACGACATTCCATTAAGGGTTTTAGTGCTTTTAATATAGTATACTAGCTTTAGGGTACGTGCGCTGCACGTGTTTATCGCGTCAATCAATTAAAATTTATGTAAGAGAACAAGTTATGTAAAATTGTAATGGACATTAAAGTAGATGCAAATAAAGAATATTAAAAGTAAGTATGCATGTATATTATTGTGGGAAAAAAATACATGTAAATTACTAAAATATTAATCATAGGAGTAAAACATTGTACGTACATTTAATGTTAGATAAAAAAATATGTAATAACAATATTCTGGAGAGTAAAGTTTTATGTCAAATATGCGAAAGAAAATTTGTTGGTGATGTATAGTTCTAAATATTAGGAGTTTTTATATAGTTAAAAAAATAAAAAAATAAATTTAATAATTAAATTTTTATTTGATTTAAATTTTTTAAATAATAGAAGATTAATTAAATTATAACTTTTTTCTAATATGAAAGTTGTTTTAAGAATAAAAATGCGAATAACATTTTGCTTAGGAGCTTCAATCTTTTAATATAGTATCGATAAATGCAAAGTACGTGTGTTGCATCTTATTGTACGTTCGTTGGGCGTTACCTCGTACTAATGAGAATAATTTTTTAAAACCGACGACATAAATATTATTCAAAAGATGTGTTTACGTTATAATATAAGAATTAAAAAAAATTATAAGTTTTAAATGATAATTGTGTTAACCATGTTTAGGAATTTGATCTATTCTAGTAGTTCTTCCTTTAATTTGTTCAAATACTTGCTTCATTATACAAAAATATCATAGGAATAACATTTGATTGAAAGGTGAAAATATATTTTGTGCCTACCCGCTTTAAAAGTTTTAGAACTATAATAATTAAGACCCTTAAACCTAAAAATGATGTTAGAAACTAAAAATATGATTTCAAGGCATTTGGCCTACGTGCCGTTAGCCTAATATGGATTTGTAATATATGGTTTTTAAGCTTCTAAATCTGAAAACGTGATTTCCATTTACAAATAAGGTATAGTACATAATTAGAATAGGAAAAAATTTAATACATAAAATTTAATTAATTTTGACGTTCTAAATATTTAAGAAATAATTAAGATCCTAAATATTTAAAAAATAATTAAATGACTATTTTGTTCATTGTAAATTTTTTGACACTTCCTAAAGTAAAACTATGCAAGTTTTAATGATAAAAACAATAGAATAGTAAAGCTTCTTTCATAGAAGTATTACATATATAATTGAAACATGAAAAGATTTATGTAAGGTAAAAATAAAGACTCCTAAAACAAAAAAGAGTTCAAAGTGCTTATTTTTTATCCAATAACTTATAAAAAAAATTAATCTAAACCTAAAATGATTGCAAAGTGGTTGAAACTTTCATAGTATAAAACGAAAGTGCTTGAAATTTAATTGAGTCAAAATTTTATTTAAAAAGCCTCCTAAAACTAAAAGGAATTACAAAGTGGTCGAAAACTTTTCTAAGATAAATTGTGTTTGAAATTTAATACTTCTAAATTTAAGTGGAGTTAGAAAGTGAAAAACCATTCTAAATCTAAAACTAAATAGAGTTTGAAAGTGGCAAATGAGGCTGCTGGATAATTACTCATGTTGTATGTCTGTTTAATCTACTAACCTAAGAAAAAAAGCCTGAGTGCATAATAAAAAAAATAATAATAATAATAGGATTAGAAAGAAATTCAAGGGCTTGATTTTGTCGTTAAAGTGGGGCAGAATATCCAAATGTCACCCGGACTTTTCACAGTTCTATCAAATCCAATTAACAGTGTCTTTAGGTCATTGTTACCTATCGTTTTATAATGTATTATATTGTATTATTTTATAAATATATCATTTGAATAGTTTGTATCGTTTGCTATTGTTAAATAATATTTTTATTGTTTGGTTTGACTGTATCGTACATATAAGTTCATTAAAATACCCGCAATTATTTTAAATAAAATTTATCAAGAATTACACATAAAAATAATTTAAGAAAACCTCTTTCTACTAATTTATCATTAATTACATAGCTTGGAAACAAGAGCAAAAACATGAAAAAGGTTAATTAATATTAGCAACACCAAAAAAAATAAATTAAAACGATGAAAAGAGACAAAGAATCGAACGGAGAATTGGATAATAAAAAGAACGGGGCAAACCAATTCTAGAAAAAATGGAAGAAGACAAAGTATGTCAATAGGTTGGAGATTTGAGGTTAAAATAAAAAGAATTTAGATGATAAAATAGAATTATAGAGTAATAAATAAGGATATAATTAGAAAAAAAATAAAAAATAATCCCATCATACCAAATCGGGTATTTTATAAAATAGAGCTTTTAGTTATTTTGAAATAATAAATTTAATAATACAATACAATTAATTTTAAATAAACAATCAAAACAAACATTGTTTTGTTTTGGGATATCAAAACAATGCAACCGTTAACAACATATCTTTCAGTTGCAACTCGCACAACTCACCCTTCTCCTCCTCCTCGTGTTTTGGTCAAAACATCAAAATACCCCCTATATATTTTCATTTTTTTTTTCTTTTTCCCTCCAACATCGTCTCTCTCTCTCTCTCTCTGTGCTTTTTCACTCTACACTCCCAGTTGTCTCTCTGCCTTGGTCGATAATTTATACAGAAGAAACGATGGAAGGTGGTCAACAGTACAATCCTCGAACAGTTGAAGAAGTTTTTAGAGATTTCAAGGGTCGTAGAGCTGGCCTTATTAAAGCTCTTACTACTGGTATACAACTTAATTTTGCCCATTTCCCATTAATATTTGTCTTTTTTCTTGCGGGTTTTTATTATTTAATTTCGGTCGGTCGTGCTTGGATTTTGCAGATGTTGAAGAATTTTACCAGCAGTGCGACCCAGGTAAAAAAAAAAAAAAAACTCATCTTTTTGCTCCTATTTTGAAGTCTTGAGCTGCTTTTGCTTCACTTGGTTTATGCTGCTGCTGTTGTTGTAATCATAGGGATTTCTAAGTTAAGGTACATTTTTTTTTGTTTCTTTTATTAATGAGACTAAAAACTTCACTTAAGTGTACTGCTGGCAATAGGTGGAGTTATTGTGGCTTTGGCAACTGTAATGCTTTGTTATTGTTTTATTTAATACTGCAATTTTTCCAATGGTTTTGGCTAATTAGATTGATATTTATGCGTCCATATTTTTTGACTTATTGCTAAAGTTCCACTTGTGTAAGCTTCGCAAAGTCAGTTCCTAGGTCCAATAGAGGAGGATCTCGGTAGATTGTTCATTAAAGTAAAATAATCAAAACTCTTATGAATCTTATGAAAATTGAATTCGTTTGGATGTGTTCACCTAAGTGTCTACTACATATGTACCTTACTATAGTTTATAGGGTAACATGTTTGATGATACTGGTACCCAAAGGTGTGGCTTAGTGGTCAATGAAGTGGGTTGAGAACCATGAGGTTTCAAGTTCAAATCCCATCGGAGACAAAGAACATTAGGTGTTTTCTTCCCATTTGTTCAAGTCTTGGTGGATAGAGTTACCTAATACCTGTTTGTGGTGGGAGGTAGCAAGTATCCCGTAAAATTAGTCGAGGACGCAAGCTGGCCCGAACACCACAATTATAAAAAAAAGGTTTGATGATATTGGTGCTTGGGTGTGATTTAACACATAGAATTAAGTTAAGATTGTTGAAATGGAGGAGTGTTACATGACTCCTATGTGATAGGAAAATATCTAACAAAACAAAACATAAGTTGTATAGCATGGTTGTGAGACTAGCCGATGTATACACGAGAGTGAACAGTGGTCTCTAAGATCTAACAAATCCACAAGATAAATGTCATGGAACTACCAACATTAAGATGGATACATGGTCATACAAATAGACAAGATTAGAAATTATCACATTTAATAGGTGGTGTGATAAAACATATATGGACGACAAGGGGAGAGGTCTTGAGATGGTTTAACCTTGTTTTACATAGACTTCTTGGTACACCAGTCTCTAGGTTCATCGTTGTGACGATTGAAGGTGTTAGAAGGGCATGGGGTAGACCTAAAATAACAAAGAGGGAAGACAAAATCAATGCAGATTTAGCTAAGAGCAGAACGTAATGGAAGCAACAGATCCATGTACGCGATACAACTAGCTGAAATTGAAATTAAGAGCTGTACTTACACAGCTAGATGGAATTAATTGTTAGGTTTTGTTGCTATACTTTGGTTTCAATGTTTTCCCAGCGCATTCTTAGTTTGATTAGCTCTATAGAGATAAGTGTAAGATCTCATCAGATTGGAATGGATGCATAGGATTCATATAGCCACCCTTTCTATATTTAGGTGTAGCCTATTGATTGATTAATACTGTTTGTGCTGAATCTTGTCATTTGCCATCGTTGCTTTGTGTTTATTTTATGATGAAATTGCTTTTAGAGTTCTAATTAATCTGTTATGTTTTCTTTCTTCTGTCAGATTTTGCTGTTGATTTTAGTATTTAGTGTAGTTGGTGGAAGGGTGCCGTATGGAATAATAAGAGTATTCAATGTTCTTGAACTACTTTAAAGTTGGGGTTATAATCATTAAGTACTGCTTCTTGTAATCTTAATAGCAGGTTGAATTAGTGAGACAATGTTGATACATAGTAGTCTTCTTCTATTCATGCTCTGCCTGTGGCCACACAAGATTTGTATGGAGAACTTCTTTTTGAGAATGAAAAGATTAAGGACCAATGTGGAGAACTTTCATGAGAAAAAAATGCAAGGAAATATTTGTGTGAAGTTAGGGGCGAAGTTGTTTTTAAATTGTATATTCAAACAATTCAAACTTTAAAAGGGAATAAATAGCAAAATTTTATAAAGAAAATGGGGTTGCAGCCTCCAATCTGCCAGATCTGTTTCTTTGGTCACAGCCTTTAATAGCTTTTATAGTTCAAATCCGCCATGTATTTTTTCGTTTCCTTTTGTATGCAAGAACTAATTGTTGTGGATTCATGTGTTCAAATTGTGTTTTGTCATGAATAGTTGTGAATGGGATCTCAAACCTTTTCAGAACTATTTGAATCTATCATTAGAAGACGGATGCCTTGTATACTTATCCTTTTTTGTTTCATTTGGTTTAGAAGGCGGGTGGAGTTATGTATCTAGTTGTAGCATAGTTCACTGTGAGGCGACTGGATGAGTTACTGCATCATTCTATAGTATAGTTTAGTCGATGAATTTAATTATTTATATGCGAAGTTGCATTTTGACAGGATGTGTTAGCTGCTGTATTGTAACAGATGTTGTAGTCAATATAGTAGTAAATAGAGTTGGCTGTATTACTTTGGTCTTTAATGTCTAAACTTTGAAGTCATAATACTGGGCCCGAGATTATGAATAGCCGTTCTTCTTTGGCTTTTTGCCTTTTTTTTTTTGAGAAGAGCTTTTTGCCAATTTCTTTGGTTTACTTATTAATTATACTATATAGCTTGAGGATAATTCTGGAATGGGGACAAAGTTCCTCGTACTAATTGTTAGAATTATTTATGGTAGGCATTTGATCTTTGAGAAAACTTCTAACTTATGATGTTTTTAGCACCATTCAGCGTTAAAGAAACAATTTTGGAACACGATGAAAATGGTTTCCAGCTATAACAGTATCTTAATGTTCTCTTGTTTGGTTTTATGTGTGGGCTTCCGTATTCTACAAATAAGCAGCATCTTTTTACCCTGCTCTGTTTTTGGGTGTTCAAGTATGAAAATTTACTATGATTATATTTGGATGTACATTTTGGATTGGTTTTGGCATAAACCCTATATCCTGAATCTTGGAAGAGGAAATTAGTCAGTGTTGGACTAGAAAAGCATATGATACAGCAGCTAAACACATTTTCCGCTATCTGCTATCCTGTTTTGAGATTACGTGATTTGATACGAAAAGTTCTTGCTTGCCCTGTTTTAAGATTTTTGTTTGTTTTGCGGATTATGGTCCAGACTGTCTAGATAAAAAATGAAGCAGCTGGTCAAGATAACTCCTTTATGCGACATTCCTCATCTAAGCTAATACTTGTGCTAGTCAAACATGTCGCGCATCTGGCGAGCAATCTTCATCTTGTACAAACATTGCAAGTCACCATTTGCTATTTGAAGGAAGATGGATACATTTTTGGCTCCTCTCTTATCCCTACGTCCCTCCCTTCCTCTATCCTCCTCTCTTTCTCAAACATGACGAAGATGATTTTCGATTGAAGTGTCATATTATCTCTATTATTTTTTTAGTTCTGTGCTAATGGCACATATCATACTTATAGTTGCATTAGTAGATTTATTACTCTTCCTGAAGTTGTCTTCTGCATTTTTTCAAGGTTGTTCAGACTCTTGGTGGTTGCATGATGTCTCGAAGTACCTTCTCATCTACTGCAATATTTGACTTTTATATATCCCCACGCCCTAAGCTCAACATTTTATTTTGAAGGGAACAATTTATGATTCAGTTCTCACTGAATTGCAGAAAAGGAAAATCTTTGCCTCTATGGATTTCCAAGTGAACAGTGGGAAGTCAATCTACCAGCTGAGGAAGTGCCCCCAGAGCTTCCAGAGCCTGCTCTGGGCATTAACTTTGCCCGTGATGGCATGCAAGAGAAGGACTGGCTATCTTTGGTTGCTGTGCATAGTGATGCATGGTTACTTGCTGTTGCATTTTATTTTGGCGCTAGGTTTGGTTTCGATAGAGCTGATAGGTATGTTTTCTCTTTTCTCTTTGATTTCATCTGTTTTAGCTCAAACCAATTGTCTAAATTGCAAATTGGAGCCTTAACCAGTGTTGCAAAATTAGAAAAAACTTGTTTTGATGGGTAAAGCTAGAACCTAAAAGGTGACATTTTTACATATAGTTCTTGAATTTTCCACTGGTACACTTTTAACTGTGTCCTCTACTGTTTTATCTATTACTCTTTTATGACTATATGGCTTGTTAATATGGTTGTTTGCTATATATTTTAGCTTGTCCTTTACTTCCACATTTGGATACAATTTCTCATGATATACATAGAGTAACTGTTTATTTCTTCTGCTGAGGCAAATTTAGATGATGGCCCTGTTCTAGTTTTCCTTTTAGATATTGGAATATTCTAGACTAGCAATTCCTTATCTTCTCATTGCTCCCTTTTTTATGGATAATGTTAATTCTCGTTGTTCCTTATTGCAAGTAAGTTAGTAAAATAGCAGAGTTTACTTAATTGAATTTGTACTGCTGTTCATGATATATAACATTAGTGGTAGGCAGAGGTGGATCCAGGATTTGAAGGTTCTGGGTGTCATATTGCTTTGAACTTTGACTTAGTCTCTTTTGAGTTTCGGTTCAGGTTATTCGCCTTTTTGGTTTATATAGACAAATCGATCAAATAAAATAGTATAATAATTATGGCGAGCAAAGCATAAAACTTCAATAATATAACTAATATCAACAAAAAATTAGTATTATTCCTTTACAATTGTATTTGACAAATTTTCATATTCTAAAGTTAAGGTTTGACTAAAGGATGGAAAAATAGGACTAAAACTTGCTATAGGTGCATATTTAGATACTCAAAGCAAAAACTTACTTAACAAACACTAAAAAAACAATAATTTTAGGGCAGAATAGAAGAAAGAACTTATAAAATTTAAAAAGTCAATAGAAACTCATAAGGAAAAAAGAGTCAGCATCAATTGAAGAAAAGGAAAGAAGAAGAAACAAGGAAAGGAAAGAAAAGAAGCAGCAACAAAGAAAAAGAAAAGAAGAAAAAAGGAGAACAAATCTCCTGTAAGGGACGAACAGAATTATTAGAAAAAAGCAATAGCCTGGGCTCGATCCCAGGCCAAGAAGGTGAATCTGTAAGCCCTGAGCCAGTGGCACCAAGCAATCCTTTATTACTGCGGGTGCCACTTAACTTATTTATACGAATTTCTATAATATACATACATATACATATAGTGATTCGACCGAGGTGTGCGGGTGGCGTGCCACCCCCTTCCTCCTTAGTAGATCCGCCCCTGGTGGTAGGCAGAGCAAGAGCTTTCGGTTTTCTAGACTATGCTATTGTGCATCTGCTGCATATTAAGAGTTGGATTATGCTTTTACTCAATTTATTTTAGTTAGATAACCAATCAAAAAAAATTGTTACAGTGACATAAATTCGTCATGTGTAACAGTTAGAATAATAAATCGAAGAGGTGAGCAACTAGAATGCTATGTACTTAAGATTTATTACCCATAAAGTATGAAAGATACTTTATGGACAATGCAAATTTACCTATATGAAATTGTCTTCGGCTCATCTCAATCGGTGACGGGCCACTGATGAAGCCAGTTGTGCCAAGGAACAGGTATCTTTATAGGAGTATAAATTATGTCCAGATCAGCAGTGACTACTTTATTTATTGGAGTAAATGATGAAGGTACCCACTATCAGAGCCTCAGAGGGCATTACAATGACAGCTTTAATGTGATTGTTGTTTGAGCGGGTGCCATGAAACTCGAAAGCACATGCAGAATAAGCAGATATTTCAGGTGACAGTGTAAAAGTGGGTCCGGTAACTGCAGTTTAACATAAAGATTTAACTTGTTGGTACAAGTGCAAAACCTCTCGATGAAGGAGAATTTATCCAGAGGAACATAGAAATCAGTACTTAGAGGGGTGGCCCCTCACAGTCCAAAAAGGCAATAAAAGGTTATCATAGTTGAATGTCACAGTCCAATTTGTTGATCTTGTTTCCTGCATTGGGCATCCTAAGTAAAACTCATTGTTTGCTTCATATTGTACTTATAAAATGTGCACTGCTTTCTTTTCCCATGCTTATTTACATCGTTGTTTTGTTCCTTGAAGTAATTTTCATTTTTCTATGTTGCAACACTTTAAATATATCACAGCATTATTACCTAAGAATGTGACCTAAAAGAAAAAAAATTCTGGGAAATGACTTGAAGTTACATGCAACGTAAGGCAAATTAACAATCTTGTACACATAAACCTGCTTGGCATACTTGCAGACTAACTTGTGTTTTTCTTTTCTTTTTCAGTTTAACCATATTTACTGAGCAGCCATTTTTTATGTTGGGTTGCAGGAGAAGATTGTTCAATATGATAAACGATCTTCCCACCATTTTTGAGGTTGTGTCTGGGACAGCCAAGAAACAATCAAAAGAGAAATCATCAATGTCAAATCACAGCAGCACCAAGTCTAAGTCAAATTCCAAGGTAATCCTTATAGTTTCTTCATCCCATTCTCCCTTTTAGCCTGTCCATTGGATGTTTTTCCTCTTTCCTTTTGTTGCTCGAATGACTGCCTAGCTGTGCGTGTACTTGGTGTGTTTGCTGACATCAATATTTGCCTATTCACTCGCCTAAGGTTCTTGGATGACAGGGTTTTAAGTTTTAGATTTACGATTTTGGTACTTACTAAAGAAGATCTATTTCGTGGTCACAGATTATTTCAGCTGTCTTCAGACAATTCTATTCGAATTTCAGGGTTTTTAAATTTTTGAATCATTGGAGCGCGGCTAACATTCTTTAGGCATGTGTACAATTTTATGTTTCAAGTTTAACATTGTAGTAGAATCATGCTCTCTGGTACGTTAAGATTCTACATAAGCAAAATTTCTTCACTTCTAGTCGTATTCATTACTCATTAGTAACAAATGCTAATAACAAGTAGGGGTGGCAAACGGGCGGGTTGGATTAGATTGGATATGGGCGGGTTGAAAACGGTAAATATCTTCCCCGATCCATATTTAATACGAATAGAAAATAGGTTAACCGGCGGATAATATGGATATGATATCCATGGCTTCTTGAATATGATCACTTTTGGGAGAATTCCTAGTCTCCCAAACTTGATGAACTCCCAATTTGAGGGTTTGCAAATGTAAAAGTTAAACCCATTGGTTATCCATTTTTAAGTGGATAATATGGATCTTATTCATATTTGACCCATTTTTAAAAAGTTTATTATCCAACCCAGTTTTTAATGGATAATATGGATGGATAACCTTTTTCTATCCATTTTGCCACCGCTAATAACAAGAAACATCTTCTTTAGGTCTTTGAGTAGCTGTCATTTCTCCTATCCTGTTTGAAGTTTGTGATGCATAGGCCCAACCTAGCTAGAAGGTTGACACTTAAATATCCTTCAAATTTGCACTTTAGTTACTTTTTCCAACCAAAGCTTTGAAAGATCGAGTACTCCTACCCACTTAACACTCTTTCAGACTGGTCACTGGTGGATCAGCCATCTGTATGTGAGACTGGGGAACCTCTCTGAAATTAAACATAAATACTAAGATCTAAGGTAATCAAGAAGTTGAAGTAATTATGGTCTCTCTCTCTCTCTCTCTCTCTCTCTCTCTCTCTCTCTCTCTCGGGGGCTTGTTGTCCTGGTATGAATTCTAAGAATTGTTTGTGGATTTATTGTTAGCTTTGCCTAGTTTACATAATCTGATTCTGCTCGTAGGCGGCACAGCTTGGCTCTGAACCGCCACCCAAGTACTCAAGACCACAACCGAAAGATGAGGATGAAGATGGTTTGGAAGAGGAGGAAGTTGACGAGCAAGGAGAAACATTATGTGGTGCTTGCGGTGAGAACTATGCATCTGACGAGTTCTGGATCTGCTGTGACGTATGTGAGAAATGGTTCCATGGGAAATGCGTTAAGATCACTCCAGCTAGGGCCGAACATATCAAGCAGTACAAATGCCCCGCCTGCAGCAACAAGAGAGCACGCACCTGATTGTAAGGTCACCAGGCTCACACTTTATCAGGGAATTATTAACAAGATCATTTTCTAATCTGAGGAAATCTCTTTTCGAGAAGCTTGAAAAAGTCATAGGTATTGTTTCTAGGTTGCTATGTTGTCCAGTTCTTAGTTGTAGTTTGTGGTTGAGGTCTGCTTTTTTCTATGTAGGCTGCCGATGTAGTTGGTTGTGTAGGTTTAGGTTATGGTGTTAAGACTCCACTCTCAATTACTGTCTGTTTCATTTAAAGGGAAGTCAATCCCAGTCATATGGTGGAAGGATATGTTAACTGCCTCGCATAAATTTGTGTAAAGTGATGTTCTATGTGCTAATTATGCTTTGACTGCATGATTTGGTTTCAGTAAATTGATGAAAGATGAGATCTGCTGTTGGTTGTTGAGACCTTTCTTGAGGATGCTGGCCATCCCAGAAATCACATCAGCAGTCTGTTATACTCTTGGTAAAACTGCGGGAAATGTTGCCGCGGAGGAATATGCTTCTTACCTTCACCGGCTCTAGGTGAATTTAGAATGTCTTATTAATTTTGTTTTAAGAAATATTCTATGCTTTGAAAGGTTTTAATTAACGGAATTTAGGTGAATTTTTTCCTTTGTCTAAGTCTTGGCGAACAGAGTTATCTAGTATCTGTGTTGGTTTGAAGTAGCAGGTAGTTGGTGGAATAGATGCGGTGTTCCATCTAAGCCGTGGTGGACAAAGTTATTCGGTATGTATGCGAGTTGGAAGTAGCAGTAACCTGGAAGAATAGTTGAGGTGCATGCAATAGCTCGAACACCACCGTTGTAAAAAGAATGTTTCCTCGGATAAAGAGGAATTCTTACTTAACAAGGAATGAGATACGAGACTTTCAAGTGGAGCTTTAAGCAAAGCATAAGTGAAACCAAGTTATGCCTGGATATGTTGCTATCTGAAGAAGCAATTTCTGGTATATTTAGGCATCGGGGTTTGCTTCATATAAGAAGCAATTTGAATACTTGCTTCACTGCTTATAATCATGTTTGCTTCATATAAGAAGCAAGGGTGTGCAGAGTGTTTGTATCTCGCTGGGGGCTGGGCACATAAAATTTCTTCACTCTTATGACAAATAAGAAACCTCTGAAACATGAGATTTCTGGGTTGGGCTCAGCATGAGTTGACTAAATAGAATTCCATGCTCGATTTCATAAATACATATAAAATACTGTGGAAAGTCATATGTACAACTAGGAGGGATATCTCATATCATTTGATCCACCTTCCCTACAATTCGGGGGTAAGAAAAGGGCAAAATAAGTGATTTTAGCTCATGTAATGTTGAGGTATTATGGGGAAAAACAACAAAATTCGATCCAATATTTCATAATTGATTAGTTCACGTGTTGGTTAACTTTATTCTAAAAGATAGAGAAAAATTATTAGCTTATCAAATTATCTATAGACTATCGAGTCGTAAAAAGATTCAACAAAAGATTCCTATTGAAATAGTATCTACACAAAGAAAATCACTTGCCATTCGTTAGATATTAGCGGCTAAAAAACTCAAACATGACTACAAGATGATCATACGATATGATGTCAATGCTACAACTGATGGAATTGCCCACGAATCGACAGAACTAAATTTTATTAAAATAGTTTCATTAGCTTTCGAGGTATTATAAAATGACATTGTGATGTTTCTGGTCCGGATTACATCACTCACAAGTCACAACCTTAAGGTTTTGGCTTAAATTGCAGTTTCTTTAACATTAATACCACCAAAATGTCTCTCCATTCCAAAGATTAAAAGATCATTATCCAGATAATCCAAATAATCCAAATCTAGGTATTAGCTGCCTAAAAATTTTGGCCAGTTGAAAAAGATAGAAGGGAAGAATGTGGTCCGAAAAGTTAAAGATTGGAAAATGAAAGGTGTCCCACGGTATCAATAGCCTAAAACTGGGTGATAGTGGTCCATTACATTGGGACGCAAAAATGACTGCTGAATTTATGATCTCAATTCTCAGCTCATGATTTTCTGCATTTTGGCCGTGTAAATTCCTAAAGAATCAAACTTTTATTAATTCTTTTCTCTCGTTACTCCGGAGGCGGATTGAAAATCCAAAGTTCTTAAGTTTTTACAACAAACTCAAGTTAATATACAATAATATTTGAGTTCACTACCAAATATTTATAGATATTTAGTGAGTTTTTTTTTTAACTCCGGACAAAAGCTATTCAATACAGTTACTCCTAGAATACATCCTAAAAATGAATAAGAGGACATAGTTGTAGTTGGCCGTAACATATGAAGGAAGATTCTCAAATTATCCATCACCAGGCCTCTCAGATTTGTATTTTTTTTCTTCAGAAAAGCCATTATCTAGTTATAAAAATATCTCAACGAGAGACGAGAGATCGAGAACCGAAAAAGCAGGAGAGCAAGTTGACACATTGAATACAAATTTTTGATCCATATTAGATTAAATTTGAACTTTTGAGTCTTAGTTTTGGATAATGTTGAGGACTTTTATATTCAACGAAAGTTATTGACTTGATGATAGTTACCATGTTTTTTTATTTGTAGGGGCAAGGGTGAATTCTTGTGCTGCCTACAAATGTCACCATATTATTTTTATTTGTAGTTGTAGCATCATCTAATATTGTAAATCCATTAATTTTAGGCATCCTACCGAAAGGTTCTTCTTTTCTAGGGTTCGAGGTTGAGACCATTCTGATTAAAACCGAAAAGACACAATCTGAATGGTCGCATCCAACATGAATACAAACACCCTTTCTTCTCTAAAATGCCAGTCTTGTTATTATAGACACGCTACAGTAGTCTATGAACAATCAAGTTTGCAAGATTTAATTTGATGTTGATAAGTGGTTCTAAATAATTTAAGTAGTACTTTTTAGGACAGCATAAACTAATTAAACCGGTGCATCCAGTATTCCAGTTACACCTATTTCCTCGAAATAATAGATTTTCAGGCCTTTCAACCAATTAATATATACAACACAAGAGGGTAAATATATTTGAAATGTGAGAATTTGGAATATATACAATATCCAAGTATATTACTGGATTTTTTCATCTTATTTCTACTTTTCATCTAAACATCCACGTAGAACGATGATGGTAGTGCACGGTTAACTTATAAGTAATTTGACTATTTTATTAGATACCTATATCCATTTATCAGTACATCTACCTTATAAATCTACAATGAGAAGAAATTAAGTAGCTAACGTTTAGATATAGATTTGATTGAAACTAGAAAAAAGAGTTTTTAAAAAAAAATTAAAGTTGTCTTTGGACATGCATTTTATTTGAAGAAAAGTTGAAGTTTTATGAGGGGAAGAAAAAATTTCACCCAAAAACTATCCTAAACCAGTTTTTGGGAACTTAAAATATTTTGAATTTTTCCCCCAAAACATGATTATATTTCATAAACAAACAATGTTTTAAATATTTTTTAAAAAAATAAAGCCAAAAAGGGAACGTAGTAATTTTTTTTTGTCTCAACTGGAGTTCGAACACTGATTTTCTACAGTCTTCCTTCCAATTTCATTTAGCTAAATTAATATTTTTCCATGCAATCTTCTTTATTATGACAAGAAACCCAAGAAAGAAAATGAACCCCGAAACAAAAGAATTTCTTACACTATACAGAAAATAAAAAACTAGGAATTGCCTCATAAAATAGTATGTTGGCCAATTGAAAGAGACAGGAGAAGAATAAGATTGTCTAAAAAGTAGAGCTAAGAGAAGGAAAGGTGTCCAAGGTAGTTAATAACGAGCATATGCATATTCATAATTTAAATTCTATGAATTTAATTTTTATATTTTTTAGTATTGAACTTATTATTTATAATTTAAATTTTATAAATTTAACTTATTAAGGTTCCTTATTATATTTTTAAAATTACAAATTCCTATCTACTATTCGTTACTATAATATTAGTTGATTTTTCACAAATAAATTCATGATTGTGAGCACCTAATTTTTTATCGTGCTTGAATATTTTCCGCTCCCATCTTCCCAGGCGCGTCCCCACTCCACTTTCTTTTGTCCCCCATGCTTGTCCCCCATACTTGTCCCCCACACTTTGTTCCCCACTCCACTCCCCATTGTTCCCCACTCCTTGTCCCCCATACTTGTCCCATATCACAGAACCCTCCCCCTCCCCCGTTTTAAAAAGGAGAACACAAAAAAACGGAAGGGGGCCCTTCTTTCTTTTTTTTTCTCTTTCTTCTTTCTTCTCTCCTCTCATACAAAGAAACTCACAATAAAAAATTGTTGGAAAACTTCAAAAAGAGGAAACNTCCCCCTCCCCCGTTTTAAAAAGGAGAACACAAAAAAACGGAAGGGGGCCCTTCTTTCTTTTTTGTCTCTTTCTTCTTTCTTCTCTCCTCTCATACACAGAAACTCACAATCAAAAATTGTTGGAAAACTTCAAAAAGAGGAAATAGATTAGAAAGGGAGATTATGAAGCTCTTGTTTCTGTCTAACTTCAGTTAATCTATTTGTTAGTTTTGAGATTCTCAAGTTTAAGCTGTTGAAGGTTGATTTTGCCGTGGACTGATGCCGTTGCTGTTGCTGTCTTGTTGAGCTTCATTTGACCCTTTTGTCTAGCCTTTATTTGGCGTTTTAGTCAATTCTCGCACAGTTAGGTATGTATTTCGACTCGTATGCCCAGATCTGATTTGTTATGGGATTATGACCATATGTATTAGTTTCTGATACTGCATTTTTGATTAAGAGAGCTACACGGTAATGGTGATTTTACTGAAAAGTTGTCGTTAACTATCTTTATTTTTTATGCTGTTTGACTAACTTAGAACATGTCATCAACTCTTTATCTGGTATTAGCTTTTATAATTCTAGCTAGTTCATATTCTTTTTTTAAAAAACTTAAATTGTAAGATTTTTTTTTTTTTTTTTTATGATTAAAATTGGCCACAAGGTACATTGCTCAGTGTTAATTTGTGACAAAACTATTTTCTGTCAAATTGCTAGTAAGTAATTCTGGTAAGAACCGATATGAAGCAAAAAATAAAAACATAAAAAGAAGCATATTTGGCTCATTTACCATTTACGTCCCCAACTGTGTAGTATAAGTATATATTATTAAAAAAATAAAATCATGTATAGTGGAGTCTTATTCAATTCACACACACACACACACACACACACATATTTATATATATATATATATATATATATATATATATAAGCCTCACAAACGTGTCTATACTACATGCTTCTGTTCTTTGTAAAACTTGTGTGAATAAAGTGCATTTTTTTTACAATTTGTTTCATTTAGTTGTTGAGCTCCCTTACTGGTTTAGCTAGCGAATTGTTTATTCATGTGATTATGTTGTTTTATTTCAAAGGTAGCTTAGAAAAATAATCCATG